AACCAAGCCCAATCTTTTCTCCTATTGGGATTAAAGGTGATTATCGAGCGAGTAGATAGCGAGTTGAGTCGTGCTCGTTAAAAAATTTTGTTACTCGACTCGACTCGTTGCTCGTTAACTCATTAAAATTTTGCTCGACTCATACTCGTTAAGAAAATTTGCTGCTCAAATCGTTTCTCATTAAGCTCGTTAAAATTTTACTCTATTTGTGCTCATTAAGAAATTTTGGTTCTCGACTCATTGCTCGTTAAGCTCGCTGAATTTCTTATTTTATTTTTTTAACTATAAGTAAAATCTACTAATACTATATATAACTTAATATAAACATAAATTAATAAATTTAACTAAAAAATTATAAAAAAATTGTATAAAGCAAATTGAAAGTCTAAACAACAAAATAACAATCCATAAATACATTAAAATAATAATTAAGGTTTGATTTTGGATGTAGTAAAATAATAATTATTAATTAATATTTTAGTATTTTTAATTATTTATTATAAAATTAATAGATTAGTAAATTATCATCTTTTATTATCTATTAGTAAATTAGCAATTTTTTTGAATGAAATATTTTTTAAGATAACTACTAAAAAGTTATAAAAAATTAACGAGTTGCTCGCGAACTTATTGAGTCAAATTGGACTTTGCTCAACTCAACTCGTCAAGGTCTCGAGTCGATTCAACCCGAGTCAAGCTTTTACCGAGTTTTGACCGAGTTATAAATACCTGATTCGTAATTTTTTATTTTTTAAAATTATATTATTTTTCAATATATATATATATATATTCTAAAATTTAAAATTTAAAAGTCTAAAATATATAATTCATGCATAAAGTTTAAAAAATTCAAATTACATAATTAAAAGAAAATTTATTAAAAAATAAAATATAATTAAATTTCATGTGTTTTAAAGTTAAAATGAATATTTTTAAAAATAATCTAGAAAGTTATTGCGGCAAAATTTAAGAAATTAAGAGTTTAGAATGTTAGAGTGAAATAATTTGAAAATTATAAATAAAAAATTAATATAATATAAAATAAAAATAAAATAATATATATATATATATATATATATATATATAAACCGGGTACGGGCCAGCAGGTACCTTGTTAAGTAATATTTTGAAACCCTAGCCCAATCCGGAAACCCAAAAAAAATTAACCGGTCGGGTAACCGACCCGAAAAATCTAGTATTTTCAATATAAATATCCGATATTTTTTAATTGGGTCGACAGATCAAATCAACCAAATCGGATATTTTTGAATACCCTAAATGAAACCAATCGAAACGTATGGATATAAAATACTGTTGACTATTTGATTAAAGTACTCACAAGTCATCCCATTTTATTCTTATATGTGTTCCAAATATACAGAAAATGAATGAATACAAAGCCAAACAAATAGCAAACAATCAGAAGACGTAACGGGTAACGATGATAAGAAACGGCTGCGTTTAGGGTCCAAATTCTAGATGAACGTACGGCAGTGTGAGAGAGAATAGAAAGAAAGAAAGAAAGAAAAAGGAAGGGTGGGGCCTGGTTCGCAACTTAAAAGAGAAAAGAATGGGTTGCAAAGGGAATATATTCATTTCGAAGAATAAATTCTGCAAGCACAATAAAGATGCTTGAAATTCAAGCAAACATGGCCGTAATACTAAGCCACCTTTTGAAACCCTAATAGTAATAATAATAATATTCAATTAACTAAAAGTTCAGCTCTAACTTTGCTTCCTTACTGCACCGTATAAATATACTTCTGCTAAAAGTAGATTGATTTAAATATTTGAACACTTAATTTAAAGGCATAACAAAAGAGAAGGTTTGGATCTTTCTTTCTCCCCCAAAAACTACACTTATTGCAGAACCAATTAAATTCTTGAGGGTTTGATCGTTGAAAATGGCATAAATGAGGCCTAAATCTGAAAAGAAGAAAAAAATAATTTGAGAACATAGTAGCTCTAATAGATACAAGATTGGTATAAGTACATTGAAGATGTAGAATTTATATCAGCTTAAGAATCTTTGTTTGATTGCGAAAGAAGAAAGCATTTATTCCCACAAGGAGTTGGGTAAACGATATATATAGATCCATGCATGCATGCATCAATGATTGTTAGGTTAAGTCGCAAAGAATTTAATGTATATTAAGTGATTTTTTTTATTAGACTGATTTTGTTGATAAAAAATCAAGTTTAAGAAGTTAACCGTTTATTTAAAGTTTGGATGTGAGAAATCAAAAGTTGATATTCACAGTAGAAAATAAGATATTCACCGTAAAAAAAACAAAGAATTGTTCTTAGCCCTTTATTTCCCTCAATTCAATGGTCTTAATAAGATGTAAAACTATGGGTGTAAGTGGATCTTAACCATATATATATATATATATATATATATATATATACATTAAAAAATTATTCAACATATAAAATGTTAATTGGGTCCTATGTCTTATTTATGGTTTAATATTTTTTATTATATAATTTTTAATTTAATATTTAAAATATAAAATTTAAAGAGAGAATTTATAATCATTTAACGTCAATTTAATGGGAGTGTACTTTTGTTTTATTCGGATTAGAAATGCATGGGACGGATGGGCAATCTTCAGTTCCACAAAAGTGATAAGAGAGGGAGGCCCATCCATTAAACTTTAGGGGTGCCCAACTACTTGCTGTCACTTAAAGCTTCATTCTTTATGCATTGATGTACAAGTCCTATTATACATTACTCATTATTATTGACATAATCATAAATTTTAAAATAAAGTATCAACATTTTTGTGTAAAATTTATAAGAGTTTCAATTATTTTAATATGGTGTCACTAATTTCTTTTGAAGTAGAATTAATTATTTTTAATATTTTTAAATAAAATTTATAAAAAAAAATCTAGAATGTTAACCGACACCTCAAGCTTGTACATGGCTCCATCCAAGAACGAATGCATGATTTTATGTTAAAAAAATACGAATGTGAATTTATAAAATTTTAAGAAGGTGAATTTGAACTTATAAAATTTTAGGGGGTGAAAATATATTTTGAATAAAAAATATATAATTTTTTTAAAAAAATATATGATAATTTTAAATTTTAGGGATGACAATCCTCCACACGCCCTGCCTAAGTACATCCCTATCTCCCTCCGCCCACGACCACGCCCACGCCCACGCCCACTACACTCCCAAAAGTCATTGGATTCCTTCTATTTTTCTTCCTTAATTTACTAATTAAATGACAAAAACAATAAATGAAACAAAATAATCCTCAGAATAAGGTGTATGTCACACAAAAAATAACACGAATCATAAATATATTAAAATTATATAAACTTAAACATGTAAATAAAAGTTTAACGCTAATAAGTATATTTTGAATTAGGTTTTCTATATATTTTTTATAATCTAAATCTACTCTCGATATTTCAAAATCATCTTTTTCTTTTAATTTGATTTTTATTTAGTCGGTGGCGACACCAATTTTAATATTGATTGTCGAATGTCGATTAATATTTTTTTTTCTTTCTTTTTACACATTATGTCCTTTGTTTTTTTCCTTGAGTTTTTTCAATTTTAAATAATAATATTTGTTCTTGTGACACACTTTTCTCTGCTCTTATGATACTTTTTTTTATGCTCTTGTGGTACGTTCCTTATGTCTTTTGGTAAGTTTTCCGCATACTTTTGTGGTCGTGTTGGTCACAAAAAGATCCTCACGTCATTTGTCTTATGATTAATTTGTCGACGGTCACGTATTATCAGATTCTCTATTTGATAAAAAATTGTTGATATAATTATAATTACGTAGTGAAGTAGTCTTTCAAATTGTTTGATTCACTCACCACTCATTTCATAAAGTTTCTCGTTCGATAGAGACCAAGAGTTTTATGTAGGTTACTGGGTTCTTTTGATGATGAACGACATTGTCAACGGAAAGTTTTTTCCGTATCTTTGGGTTTATATTTTTATTTTATGTATGAGTTTTTGGTGATTATTGTTTCTAATTTTCTCTTTAAATACGTTGTAATTTTTATTTATTCTATTATTTTTTATTAATAATATCTAGTTACCATTAAAAAAACTTTAACACTAATACATTTAGTTACGCATAATATTTAAAAAAATAACTGAAAATTAACATTGCATATCAAATAATAAATATTTATCAAACTGTAAGCGAAAGTAAAAGGGGAAAAGAAAAAAATAAATTGTAAATAAATTCAGTTATATCTTTGATTAGATAGTAATTTGGTTAAGAATCAGTTAATTAATCATTAGATTTTGCTATCAAGAATGATGACAGCCTTTTTATTGGTAATGCCATAAAGGATATCATGTATGTCTTTATTTCCCAAGCCATCATAGCACAATAGCCCTCAAGATTTAAAACTCCATTATAACCTAAAAAGGGAAATTGTACTACAAAAGCCAACAAAATGGCCCATGTATACAAATATATGGATATCTAGATTTCACTTCACATATGATTAATGGGTTGATGGAATAAGGGGTAAAAGATTATGTCCATGTTTACGTATGAGTTGCCATGATGAGTGCATACTTCACGTGGTAGTGGTATAGTAGAAAGATATAAGGTCTATACATTAGGGATGGATCGTAGAAAATGGGTAGAGGTATTCTCTAAAAAAATTAAATTTATATTTTTTTATTGATAATATATTTTCGTGCCTTATAAAATTTTATAAGTTCACCTACATCTGTAACGTACATTATAATCGTATTTTACTCTCTGTTAAAACTTTACTACTCATCACTTAAGTTGGGGTATGTATATCTATCGGTATGCCAGTGAGGAAAGTGTTCAAGTGACGTATAAATTGGGTATTGTAAGTATGCTGATGACACCATATTTAGGGTATCTTTTGGAGGAGTGGGTGCATGTTAGAACAAGGTGCACTTTAATATTTTCCTGTATTTTTTTTGGGTATGATATAGATATATACAACTTTTCTTTTTATATGAAGGGGAGATCTGTGGTTTGATTCCCTTTTTTATTGTAGTTGAGAGCCAACGAACGAACCCAAAGCAACCCTCTCTCGCTTATCTTCGTCAAAAGAACGCACCCTATTCTTCCCTATTTGCATATCGCATTTGTTCTTGAATCTCATCCTATTCTCACAGCCGCTCGTGAGAGAATGTTCCAACCAAAGAAGCCTTCAACTATGAATTCCCATGATAGACCAATGTCTGTTCAAGGCGACTCCGGTCTCGTTCTCACCACCGACCCCAAGCCTCGCCTGCGTTGGACCGTCGAACTTCACGAACGCTTCGTCGATGCCGTTACTCAGCTCGGAGGCCCCGACAGTACTTTATCTACTAACCCGTTTCTTCTTTCTCTTCAATTTCATTACTTCCATATTTGTATCAATATATTGTGTTAAAATTGAACAGAGGCGACTCCCAAAACAATCATGAGAGTTATGGGTGTGAAGGGTCTTACGCTTTACCACCTCAAGAGCCATCTCCAGGTTTGAATACAACACCGATTATCTTATGCTTTGCTTTAGCTTTTTTTTCCCCTTGTTCCAGACCTTTTGTGACAAGCTTCTCCATGTAGGGTTGTCTTGGATTTCCCTTTTCTTTTCTTTTTTGTGTGTTATTTTATTTCTCTTTTCCTCTTTTTTCTTTGCTTCTTTTGATTACAATGATTTTAATTCTTCTTGCTGGATTAGAAATTCAGACTCGGAAAGCAACCTCACAAGGAACTAAATGATCACTCTATTAAAGATGGTAAGAGATGAGGTGGACTCTTCTTTCTAGGGTTTTCTTTATCAACACAACAATTACACCACCATATATATATATGCATGCTTGTGGCTAAATGTTTTTCTTTTTCCCTCTTTCTTGCCGGGGGCGTTAGATCTTCAAAGAAATACTGCATCTTCCTCCGGCATGATGGCTCGTAGCATGAACGAGTATGTATTTACTCATTTTGTCCTTTTTTTCTTTAAAAAAAATCTTTCAGATTTTCTTGTGGAACTTATGTCTAATTCTAACATACATGGTTGATGCGATTAATTAGGATGCAAATGGAAGTGCAGAGAAGACTTCATGAGCAATTGGAGGTATGCGCATATATAATACTCAAAATAAAGAAATCTTATGGATATTTTTCGGGGGATAAATCTTATTTATTCGTGCCAGGTTCAAAGACACCTTCAATTGAGGATCGAAGCTCAAGGCAAGTATATGCAGTCCATACTGGAAAAAGCTTGTCAAACACTAGCCGGAGAAAACATGGCTTCCGGAGGCTACAAAGGAATGGGAAATCAGGGTGTTTCCGATCTCGGAACGATGAAAGATTTAGGTCCCCTTAATTTTCCATCGTTCCAAGACCTCAACATTTATGGGGGTGACCAACTTGAACTCCAACACAACATAGATAGACCGTTGCTTGATGGCTTCATTTCGAATAATGATAACACTTGCCTCGAAAAGAAGCGGTCGAGCCCTTATAGTGGTAGCGGGAAGAGTCCTTTGATTTGGTCCGATGAGCTCCGACTGCAAGACTTGGGAACGGCTCCGACATGTCTAGGACCTCAAGACGATCCTTTCAAAACCGACCAGATTCAACTCGCACCCCCGAATACCGAGCTAGACAGTATATCGGAGATTTATGATGCAAAGCCGGTGCTGTCTGACGACGGCATCGGTGAAAAGAAGTTCGAAGCATCGGCTAAGCTGGAAAGGCCATCTCCAAGGAGGGCATCACTTCAGGCAGAGAGGATGAACCCTATGATAAATAGTGCTAGTGTTGCACAAGGGAGAAATTCACCATTTGCGTGATCAATGGCTAACATATATATTTGATTTATTATTAGACTTAAAGGTTAATTAATTATACTCCCTCTGAGTCTGATATATGATTAGGGTATTAGTTAACTACAATAGGATTTTGCCTGAGGTATATGATAATGCATGCGCCATGCATGCCAATCTTAATTTCTTACATAAATTAATCGTTATGAGTTTGATACATCAATTTGTACTTCCCCATCATCCGAATTATATGATATTAGTAATTTTATATATTTTTCACCTTCGTATCATCTTTATATCCTTATGATTCATTTGTAATGTAATTTTGTATAGGAATACATATATTGATATCTAAATCTAGTTTTAATGTTTAATTTCGTATTTAAATTTTTATATACAATCAGTTATTGGATTTTTTGACTTTAAGGTTTAGTTTGATACCCAAGTTTTTTATTCAATTAGGTACATGATAGTCTGCTAGATCATGTCTTCATTTATAGTCTAGAGTCTTTTCTTATCTATTTAGCAAGGTCATTGTTCCAATGCTCGCGTTTGATGATAGTCTATGTTACGGCGGGGTTGTGTTAAGTAGAGTTTTCGTTATCTTTCCATGTCGATGGAGTGGAAAGTAAGAGGAGAGTTGTGGTAAGGGTGTATATTCGTGTATGTTGTTGACATCGGTTCTAGTGTTGCTGTTTTTGTACCTAGCCATGGGTACTAGTGGCGGATGTAGAAATTAAAAAATAGGGATCCAAAATTTTAATATCATATTCTAAAAAATTTGGGTATGCAAATTTTATTATTTTTTTCTATTCCTACTAAGAAATTAAACTAAATTGAACATTTTTATCAAAATAATGGGTGTGCAATGGCTCTTCTAAGGAGCCATGTACATCCGCCCCTGATGGGTACTATTTTTCTCCACTTAAGTTTAAAGAGGTTTTTAATGAGATCACTATCTATGGTTTAATTTTTTTTATAAAAGAATTTTTGCTGATAAAAAAATAGGTATATGAACTTGAGTTTAAGGTCCAATTTGAAACCTAAAGTTTGTTTTTATCTAATTAGGTACTTGTATTTGAAAGTTAGTCTGAATAGATACTTGAGTTTGATTTATTTATCCAAATTGATACTTATAGTAAATGAATTATTCAAATCATAAAGTCAATATCTAATTATAAAAAATAAGTTTAGGTATCAAATTGAAAATTGATGTCAATTTAGGGTTTAATTGAACAAAAAACTTAAATAACAAAGGAAATGGCACCAAACTATTTTCTGATTTTCATTTTAAACCTTTAATATAAGTACATGTTTTTCTTGTAAAACTTCAAATTAATGTCAGTATTTCAAGACATTTTAAGAACAAAGGAAATGGCACCAAACTATTTTCTGATTTTCATTTGCATGCCTCTTCGTTCTTGATGCTAATTTGCCATTTTGGTGGTATATCTATTCCTTAACAATATCATGTTCAAAATTTTCAAATATCTGGATTTATTGGATATTAAATAAGTCAAATATTTTTAGATATAATAAAATTTATTGGTTGGAAATTATTTTACAATTGAATGAATAATGAAATAAATATTTTTAATAAGTAGAAGAAATCATTACATATAATTTCTATTTTTTTGAAGTGATAAATATAATTTTTGATGATAAAGTAATAGGTTTTTATAATGAGAGTAAGTTATGCAAGTTTAAGAATTAAGAGAAATCTTTGGTAACAAAAACACACAATTATATATTTCGTCAGAAAAAAGAGCATTGTATGATGGTCATAATTGGTCAATGTCTAGCTGCTGTCTTCTCATTAGCTCCATGTCTCGATCATGTACAAGGTGCGACAACTTTAATATACGATTAATAAAATACGTTATTGGAAATGTTATTTTTTTAATATTTCCGATAAAAATTTACCTAAAACGTTATTTTTCTAACTGAAATATTAATATTGGGTGCTACCTAAAATATTATTTTTCTACCAGAAATGTTAATATTGGACGCTACCTAACATGTTATTTTTTCTACCGATTTTTAAATAATGAAATTAACATTTCCGATAAAAAATAATATTTTAAGTAAAATTTCACCAAAAATATTAAAAATATAATAATATTTTCGATAATAATTTTTCTTAATCGTATATTAAATTATCGTATAACATAACTTCCCATGTGCTCTTGTTAGAATGAAGTAAACTTTTAAAAACCGTTGCTTTTAAAGTTAGTTACTTGCCATCACTGCAGACATCATCATCGGGAAGAACGAACCCACTCTAAAAGAAGAAAAGAAAACAGGATATAATCCCATTAAAGCAAAAGTTCATACGTTTGGGAGCACATGCCTCTGCATATATATATATATATATATATATATATATAGTTAGAAAAATTACGCCACGTTAATCCGAGAATGATATAGATAATTAATAATAAATAAATATTATTATAAAATTAAATGGAATGAAGGGATAAGAGATAAAACGAGTTTACTTTTATCTTGAGATTATTATCCGAAATAACAATTTGAGACAAAATCAATCTTAAGAAAATAAACCAAAAAAGTTAAACTTCTTAGAAGATAAGATAAAAATAAATAGAAAAAATGCTCCTTTTATTTTGATCTATTTACTGGAATTAGTTGAAGCATATCGTTACACAGTTTTTTTAACACATATTTTCGACCACTTATTTGGTGTTCGAGTTCGTTGGTCATCTGTCTCCCATGATAAAACAACTTATGATCAACAACAGTAACACATATGCACAAATCATGAACGATCCTTGCCTTTGACATCACCGGAAAAACTAAGGAAGAGAATTTTTTCAAGATAAGAGAAGTTCTTGAAAAATTGAATTGTGAGATATATTGAGATGTGAAAAACCTAACAGGTTTGCTCACTATTTATAGGGTATTTTCAAGATAAATTTAATCCAACTAAATATCTTTAATATTCAACATTAAACTGATAACAATATCTTTTAATTTGAAATATTCAAAAGATAAAACTTCTTTTATCTTTCAAACTAAAATATGTATTATTTTAATTTGAAATATACAAAAGTATATAATTATCTTTAATATTCAAAGTTAAAAAGATAACAAATATCTTTTTAAATTGACATATTCAAAGAGTAATTATCCTACTAATATTCAAATTAAATAATATATTAATTTGCAATGGTTAAAAGGTAAACTATTTTTACTATTCAAACTTAAACATATATTATTTTAATTTGAAATATACAAAAGTATGTAATTATCTTTCAATATTCAAAATTAAAAAGATAACAAATACCTTTTTAAGTTGACTTATTAAAAGAGTAATTGTCCTACTAATATTCAAATTAAAAAGTATCTTTTAATTTGCAATAGTCAAAAGGACTATGAATTTAATATAAATATTAAATCCATCAATTAAATTCACAATTTCCCATCAATCCCCACATGAATGAAATTGATTATTTAATAAAAAAACATTTAGGCACGTTGTAGTGATAGCCTTTATAATTGAAAGTTGCATAGGTCTCGATTTACCATTATACTTGCTAGTCACAGTGTAAACATATTGTGGGCACATGTTTAAGCCATTTAAGAATATCCTTCAAGAAATTCCAAAGCAATTTAGCTTATTCTCTAGACTTATCTAGAGCTTCAAACTCATATTTCACTATGATTCTAGTTATAACCGTTTTCTTAAAGATTTCTGTCAACACACCTTTTTTGTCCTACTAGGATTCAAACTCTCAAAAATAGGATAGAATTCTGCTAGGATTCAACTCCTAAAAATAGGATAGAATTTTGCTATGTTTTAAACTCCTAAAGATAGGATCCACAAGCACTATAAATAGCCATTGTAGCTCACTATTGTAACACACGATGGGCATACGAAATTATCAGAAAAAAAATACGAGCAAATAGATTGTTTTGAAGCTATTGTAAACAATTCAGGAGCAATAAAAGGTGAAAGCTTTTACCTTTCGCATTCTTTTCTTCACTTGCATGTGTTGTTATTCGTCTTTGTGCTTGAAAAAAACAGTTTTGGTCGAGGAAAAGGGGTTGTCGTTCGAAACTTTTCTTTTAGATCTACACAACCCCGAGGCCGTTTTGGAAAAATACTAGAATATTTAAAACGAGGGAAGGAAAGGCTTTTAAAAATCAATTTTTTTTTCGAGGTTTGCCGCCGATGAATGGTCCTTTATGTATTATTTTCATATTTTTATTTATTTCTTTTTGATAATTCGTATTATTAAGTATATATATATATATTAATTATTTTTATTCTAATATTATTTTAATGTTTTTTAAAGTTATTATATATATATTTATAACTATTATATTTATTATTATTTTACTATTAACGTATATAAATATATTTTTCTCTTTTGCTACTATTATTATCATTATATGTATATTTTTTATTGTATTTTATTTTTTATTTTTACTTTTTTTAAAACATATGCATATATATACATTTAATTATATTTTTATATTTTATACTTCTTTATTTTTTTGTTTTCATGTATTTATATATACATTATTATTATTTTACTTTATTAAATTATTTTTTTTCGTTATTATATTTATTATATATATATATATCATAATGTTTTTTTTTGTTATTCATTCTTACTATATTATAGGGATACATCACACTCATTTATTAACTACGGTCCTACCCCTTATCGTCTTTTTCCTTCCCGACAGTTATATTTCACCAAACCTTGTCTTTCTTTTTTTACTTTCTTTTGGTGTGATTGCGTTTTTTTTTTATTTTACTACTTATTATCATTATTATTATTTTGCACTTAATAATTATATATTTTTATTCATCTTTTAGTTTTTCATCATTTTTTTTTATTTATTCCCTTCTATTTTCTTTATTTCATTTACTCTTATTTCCTTTTTCCTTTAACGCGTTTCTCGACTTTTTAAGGGTACTCTTTCAAATTGATCGGAGGTAAGTAATTTTGGATCATATGTTACCTTTAAATTTTAACTTTCGATTTTCTTAATTAAAAACAACTGGAAATTACGTAGTACCGAAAGGGCGGTTTAAGGGTGCTAATCCTTCCTTGACCGTAACCGACTCCCGAATCCGACATATCTTTGGTAAGACGTAGATCAGGTAAGATATAAGGTATCCGATTAACCTATTTTTTTTTTAAATAAATAATCGGTGGCGACTCCAATCACATTTTTCAAGTCGAAGCCCAATTCCGGGGCCCAACCGAAAGATGGTTACGATAGCTTGGCGACTCCGC